TGATTCTCCAAGAAAATGGCGATCGGCTGGAATTGAACCCCGGCATCCAGTTTAAAAATCCCTCTCAGTAAAGTAACCATAAACTATACCAGTGCTTCATAAGTGCTACCAAGTCTGTAATATATGATTATATGGGTTGCTTTAAATCGGCGAACAAATGAGTGATGTGGAGTAATAATTTGGCACTGCGCTTTGTTTTGTTTCATAATTTCGTACACATTTATTCTCTTCCTACCACTAGCTCTATAAAATGGTGTTCTATAAAACATCAGTTCTAATAGTTGGTGTTTATTCTTATCTGCTATTGTATTCAACAACAATAATGTTTCATTTTATGGTCATGTATATTTGGTGATTGAAACTCATGTTGCCCAATTGTTCACTGTTAACGACGCTGGAGTTTAAAACTCCTGCTATTTGACCTGCTATTTATAATATTTTGTATACACTGCTTGTTATACACGACGTTTGTTAAATACGTTTTTATAATTCGCATGTAGTTGACAGTCGTTATTAGTCTTCCAGAAAAGTTTGTTGTAAACCAATTAAGAGCAACCTTGAAACTATAGTTCTAGCAAAAAAACGCTGTGTTTACACAGCTAAATCACTTAAATTTAAATCACATTATTAAAAAAAATATTTTATGTAACTTTTTCATTCTCTTTAAGTGCACAATAATTGTATTCTACCCAAACAATTACAGAGCGTTTTACATGGAAAAGCAAACACAAAAAGTGGTCGCGCCGTATTTCAAGAGATATTCAGACAGCGGGTTAGAAGTGGCAGTCATCGGAGATGGAGTATTTTCTTGCTCTTCCACTAATTGTAACCTGAGCGTCGACTGATGGATGAAGCTCCAGTAACGTATCACGTGACTCCCCCGTCCACCCCTCACATACACACACACACACACACACACACACACTCATACACCCTGCCCAGGGGCCGTCCAGGAGACCGCGATCGGGGGACTCTTAGGAAAAGTGTTTGCATTGGAATTAATTCAATTGTTTAAGTTATCGTGTTTCTCTTAGTGGAGGGAGCTTTCCGTTCCAGACAAAAAAATGACACAAAAAATGTAGTTTTCCGGGTACATACGACATACAGGAGGACATACAACCTAAAGCCAACCTAATGAAATACTGCGTTTATTCCACCAAGACAAACGAATACAACATAATACATTTTCTTTCAAATACAAACTAAAAACGATTCTATTTACACCTAAGGGAGTCAATCTTCACGTGAAAAATAGATGTGGTTGCTCTCTGTGACCTTATGATCAGGGACACTAGGTCCTTGAACCATAGAAGCAATGCATGAAACTGTTCTGGGCTAGAGAGTCGTGAAACAAGGAGGAACATAAATCAAAATCTACGACCTGAATTACTATTTTGATAGAGAGTATGTTAGTCACTATAAGGAAGGATTGCGTATAACTTCTTCCAAACAGAGATACTGATAGCATAATCAATAACAGGTAGTCGCACGTCGGACGGTCCAGTGACAAAGTGTCGTCTGATACTTTACACTCTTACACTTCACCCCCTCCCCTCCACCCCCGTCTACCCTCTGATAAACGATACCGTACTCTCCTGTTCTCGCGAAATATCGAATTTATTTCAGGTTGAAATTTCTCACGTACTCGAGTAAGCGGAGTTAATGTTTGAAATGAAAACTCAGTAAACAATCCGATGCTGCTATTATGTTACAGATTCATGTTTGCTGTTATTAGTCTACGTAGGGAACTTAAATTGTGCTCATTTTGAGGTAAAAAGTGTTACGGTTTAGTTAAAATCGATTACTTTCAAGTTGTGTTAATGTGCGAATGTTAGGGATAATTTTGATAGTAATTTGTTAAATAGTTTTGAGCGACTGACATATGTGTCAAGTATATAATATTGAATGACATATACCATGCAGTAGGGTAATAATTTGAGAGGAATGTGTTTGTAGGGCAAGCTAAAATGAAAAAATAAACAAAGCACTACTTATGTTAAAATTCTCAAATAACTGTGTACATGAATATAAAGCTAATCATTTTTTATTAGACTTTCATTGTATTAACAGAAGCTATGAACAAGTTAATCCCATATTATTTTTCAAGCGCCTAACTGAAATACATTTACAATGATTTTGCAATTTGTATGCCTCGAAAGTTAGTAAATTAAACATCCAAACCTTATTTTGTTTTTATAGTGTTTTAAGAGGTCATGTAAACATGTAAATAATGTTTTGAAGAAGTGAACGATCAAAAATATAAACCCATATCTATTCCTGAAGTAAGGATCCATACCCAAATTAACGACGCACCAATTACACAATATTAACTGTATGTTGTGCACTCAATCTAGAAAATCCTCCTAGACTTCAATTAAATGGGGTTTTGAGGAGGATATAGTGTGACTGCTTCGCACGGGTCAGCTTATATTTGAAATTTAAAAGATCAAGAGTATACCTAACTGTTGGTTTCGTAAAAAATCACACGAAAACCCAGAAGTGCACTTTGTGAATAACAATAAAAATAACTAAATATGGTATCTTAAAAAAATACGTACTATTGTGATTAGAAGCTAAACATGCCACAATTACAGTAAAAGTAAATTCCTTTCTAATTACTTAATTGTGTTCCCGACTAAACTCACAGGGAATATTTTACTTCTCTCGGAACGTACAGAAACAAGAGACATTTCCAATGATCACTCGCGACGTAAGCTTTTCATTAGTCTCAACCACACAACACATCAACGTTGTTCAGCCCGCGGCCTCAGTGGACGGCAAGGCTAGAAATTATAAAGCGGAGAACGGAGGTTCTAATTTTCAGTTTCGTACTAATTATATCAATTTTGTAGAGAAAACGAGTCACGTACCCTTTAATTTCACTGGATATCTCCCCAATGTCGTGCTGGATTTGCGTTTTTGGCAATATGTTGGTCTTGCGTAACGGGATGGGCTAACGAATCTATAAAACAAAAACGTTAGAGAGAAGACAAGGAGATCAGCGCAATGCTTGGCTACATTTGGTGTAATGGAGTCTGGCCTAGGGTCATTTTACGTCATTTAATAAAAAGCTGTTCCACTTCAGTTGTTTAAACTATGTTTCTATATTATTTTGGAATGCTTTGCATTTATTTATATGTTTACAATTCCATTACCGGTAATTAAGATACAAGTTATGAGGATTTTGCATTTATTATAATCAAACCTTTTCCATTGTTCTTTCCTCTACATTATAACTTTGTGTATCTTATTGCTGAATATTATATCACGCAGGAAGCAATACATTAGCCTATGTCTGCCAATCATCGCGTCTTCCTGTAACAGTAAAGTAAGCAGTAAAGTAAGTATTCTTCATGTAAATAGTAAGCTTTGCGATGACAACACCTGGTTATTGGACGATCAGAAATATGCTTCCACGAGTTAAATAATTTAAAAATAGTTTCCGTTAATTGTGTATATTATATCATCGTATCATTTAAAATAGTCATCATTATGTGCGATCTATAATCCTCTATACTAAACATACTCCTTGGATTTGTTAGGCATAGGTGTTTTATTTCAGTTGAAAACAAGTTTAGATTAGGTTTCTGTGTCTGTCCTATTATGCAAACGTACGAGTATATGCAAAACGTTTTCTATGTTTAGTCCTACTATTGGTGCAGTAATTTTTGTCACTGTCTTCAAAACTGTTTAAACAAGCTGGACCGTGAAATTGTAAAAGTATTTTTTTATGCGGTGTCAATGCTTTACAACCAAAGAGTGCAACAACCATACATCGATGACAACAACATTTTGTAATATACCTTCAAATAAAATTTGTATCGCCAAAATCATTTAATCGTCAATGACCTCGGCTCCCCGGGCATAAACACTCATTGTAACCTGAATCTGATGTTACTATTGACGTAAAGTCTCCTTGCAATATTCAAAGTCAATGATAATAATTTAAAGCCGATTCGAATTTTGATGGCATCACCGTAACAGTAGTGGCATTCCATCACCATGTTAAAGCTGTCAACAGTTTTAGAATAGTACGTATATGTAGTTGAATTGAGCCAACGAAAATGTGCGTCAATGTAAAAAGATTTCTGTCAAACACTCGAGCACACGTTTAACCAAACCAGATTAAAAGACTTGTAAACTGTAGTACACTTTATGTCACAACAAACACCATAGTCTCAAAAACTAAAGAAGGGATGTGAAATTTAACCACAGTGCATTCTGTTAGCGGCTCTTTCAACTATATTCCATTTATATGAGATTGGCTATTGGTCCATAAAGATGGCACTGAAGACATTCAGTATCCAAAAGTCGACGGTGTTACTGTACAAGTCTCTGGTGTTGGTGACGTCACGTCACATTTTCTCGGAAGTGTCAGTAGGTAGTGTAGTATGTTCTCACGACACCCGAGCTGGGATTCCTAGTCAGCTTACTGGCGGACCATGGTCTCGGGTGTACCATGGGACACCGGGGAGGCTGCCAGAGGACACCTTGGATACAAGAACCTCTCCATCTCCGGTGATCCAGCGTCAGTCTTGGCATTGTGAGAATGTAAATAGTAACCAGCGGTGACCTGAAGTTAACCACCTCGTCTCTTGTAAGAAACCCTACACTGAGGTCAGTTGTGAGTAGGATGTACAGTACCAGAAGAATTTGTAAAAACTTCAAACTTTGAGCAGAGATTCACAAATCTACAATTAAAACTTTTGCTGAAAACTGCAAAAGTTCGGAGCAATTTTTAGGCTGAGCACTGAAGCTTTTTCGTATAACTTACCGAAGTATTCTTCAGAATCATACCCAGTGTAATCTAGCTTATATTGTTTTTGCCAACATCATAATATACACAGATCCTTTCTAAGGTGCCATTCGATCAAGTTAACAAATTTCTTATTCACTAAAAAAATAAAGGTTCCACTCCCATCTGCTATATTTATTTATCGATAAATAGTAGGTCTAAATAGAACATGTTTTAAACTCTAATTAATTGTTTATGTTCGCAGGAGTACGCAGAGACTGCAATGAATGAACTGTTGGGCTGGTACGGCTACGAAAAGGTAGGCCTATACACCTTTGTGTGCGTTATTGATTACGATTTACAATAGTTATTTGTGTAAGTGTGCGAAGTGGCACTTTGGTGCAAGTGAGAGAAATTTTTACGCAAGAGCCGCAGGCGATTGTGAAGGTTTCTCGAGTGCAGTAAAGACAATTTGCACTCGTTTCACACTCTATAGGGTGAATAAAAAGTCAAGACCCCCCCCCCTCTAATATTTTTCCAAGTAAATATACAGAGATATCCTTTTGGTGGTCGAGCAATCCTAGCAGGAAGTTTCATTTTATCATTTTGACATTTTTGATTGCCCCCCCAAAAGGGGGAATTTGGGGGGCAACTCAAATTTTTTAAATGTAAACCCCCTTCAAGTGACACCTCATTTTAAAGTGTTTACAAAAACTTAAAGAATAGTGAAAACTAGAGATCGCTATCTCTTCTCTATCCAAAATGGTAGCCCGTCAAATGTTGTGGAAAATCAATGGTAAAATTGTTAATATTGGCTGCCATTTTGGATAGAGAAGAGATAGCGAGCTCTGGTTTTCACCATTCTTTAAGTTTTTGTAAACACTTCAAAATGAGGTGTCACTTGATAGGGGTTTCTATTGAAACATTTTTAGTTGTCCCCCAAATCCCCCCTTTTGGGGGGACACTTAAAAATTTTAAGTGTAAACCCCCTTCAAGTGACACCTCATTTTGAAGTGTTTACAAAAACTTAAAGAATGGTGAAAACCAGAGCTCGCTATCTCTTCTCTATCCAAAATGGCAGCCAATATTAACAATTTTACCATTGATTTTCCACAACATTTGACGGGCTACCATTTTGGATAGAGAAGAGATAGCGATCTCTAGTTTTCACTATTCTTTAAGTTTTTGTAAACACTTTAAAATGAGGTGTCACTTGAAGGGGGTTTACATTTAAAAAATTTGAGTTGCCCCCCAAATTCCCCCTTTTGGGGGGGCAATCAAAAATTTCGAAATGATAAAATGAAACTTCCTGCTAAGATTGCTCGACCACCAAAAGGATATCTCTGTATATTTACTTGGAAAAATATTAGAGGGGGGGGGTCTTGACTTTTTATTCACCCTTTATTTATCCTAAAGTTATTATCAAGCATAGAAATAATTAATCTTTAAAACACAAAACACCACGTTTTAGGTTAGTACCAAGCGTTGAACGAAATGGGAAACACTACAACAGCTGATCGTAGTATCTTTAAAGAAATACTTTTAAGTAATTTAAACTTGACGAGTTAATGTTTTAATATATTAAACTAATTTCTTCATTAAGAGTATTCGCTTATTACTATAATTTGGTTTAAGAGACCAACACTTGCTTTTAAGTAACTTAATGGAAATTCTATAAGAATCTTTTTACTAAGTGTTGCCAGCTTATTTTCAAGCGTACACGTATTACATATCTTTTAAAGCATACTGTTTTTTGTTGTTTGGTTGGAATACTGGAGGGTGGCCAAAAAGTTAATGCGGTAAAAGTAAGTAAATGCAGCAATTAACTACTTTTCGTGCTAAAATCAGTGAAAGAAAGCCCACTTCGTCAGGTAACTGTAGGAAAAATAATATTGCTAGCTTGTGTTTTTATTTTTATGTTTATATAGGAAATAGGTACAGTATAATATTTAGTGAGTCGGTGGCTCAGTCGGTAGCGTCGCGGACTTTGGGCCCAAGGCAGCGATGTCGTGGGTTCGGATTCTGGTCACTGCCACTAAAATTTATCAGTACAGTTCACCTTTATACTGTACCGGCTCACTCCTTGCTTTGCTGTAAACGATCCACGCACGGGCGCTTAGTCTATGTGGACGGGCAAATGCAAGGTTAAAAAAAGGCCACCAACCTCTTAAAAAAAAATTATGATAGTCATCAGCTGGACCATCATTCAATTCGTGGTTCTCTTCAAATAATGATGATCTTACTTAGATTCGTTTTTCAAAAGCCTATTCCTGATGTAGCGTAGCGTATTTTTGTTCGTTATCTATTGCATAGTACGTGATAAGTAAAATGTATATTGTAGAAGTAAGGAAATTTGTCCAATAATGACCGTATCGCAAGCACATAAATACATAAAAGTATACATAAAGTTCTTATATACAAACAGAACTACTCTTTTCATAATAAAACGTATCGGTTTGGAACGTAAAATCTATGTTTGCAAGAGTACTATGATCTTGTTTTTTTTGTTTTTTGTTTTTGTTTTTTTTGAGGGGGAGGGATGGGGTTTTAACGAAGTTTTCAATTATTACATTTATTGGTAAGAGAATAGTTCAAAATAAATTCTTGTTGGCAACCTTTTGTTATATGTCATGATAAACAATGACAAATGGTATAGGTATCCAGCATCCAAAATCGCAATTCTTAAAGTAGTGCTACCAACTATCAAGCTGTTACATTCGGAGGAACGTAATAGAGTACTTGCTCCACGTAGAACAACCAAGCTATTACGAATTACCAGTACACTATCGTTGCAGCTATGGTGTTGTTGTTTCCAGGTTGACAGTCGCGATACTCAAGGCCTCAACCTGCACCACTTCGCCTCCAGGTCGCCTCCCTCGGCCCACGGGGGGAGTGACACGTCCTCTGATGGGGAGAGACCCCGTAGCAGCAGCCCTAGACACTCACCCGGCTCCCCTGCCTCTCCTCCTCCAGGTACAGTGTTCATAGTTCCTACCTCAGATATGTCACTAAGGTGGAATAGCCTATTCAACAATGGAGTGGTTTGTGGTTGAAACTCCCCTTTTTTGAGCGGAGCGAGCGAAGCGAGCGTAGCTCTTTGGGATCAACTTCAATGCAACAAATAGAGAAACATCACTCAATAACGGCTGAACGCATTTCAGCCAAACTTAACAAAATTACTTAGACTAATAGTGAGATGGTTTTTAAACAAACAAATTTCAATTAGATAATGCTAATGCAATTTAAAACGAACTTAAAATTTCCAAATTTTAACATTAGGCTTATGAGGCAAAAGTAGCCATATGACAGTTTTTTGTTTACAAAAAAATGTAAACAAGAGTACCATTACGGTATTTCTGAACTTTCTAGACTTTTCTTTTAAACGTTTTTAAGCCATTCCTATGATTTTAATAAACAAGAAAATGCCGTTAAAACATTTTTTTAAGGTGCCAAATTCACTGAAAATCGAGAAAATATACGGAACTACTTTCTCAATGCGCGGAGCATAAACAAGGAGCGGAGGGATACGGACCAGTGACTACTTTCTTTGGAACCTATTTGTGTTGCCAGCTGATTAAAAACAGCCAATGTTAGAAATCAGGATTTAATAAGCGATATATCGAACCGCATCGAAATCGATATTTAATCCGATAATACATCACAGGATTCACAGGTTATATTATGTTGAATTACATCGACGGTGCAGTAAGTTATTACACTTATTAATGAAACGCAGATTGAACACTGATCTAATCTAGGCATGTGGGGAAGGTAGCAAAGAAAGCTGAGTTTAACCGATTGCAGGGGTTGAAATTAAGACCAATGTTTATGTTGCACAGTTGAATTTAAATGTCAAATTTCCCCACCTGTTGTAATACTTTAATACTCGTTTTTTTAATAGTTACTGTTTTTTTTTTTATACTTTAATATAGCCTACTTTAATCGATTGTAAGGGTGAAAAATGAAGTCCAATGTTTTTGTTGTAGGCTACAGTTGAATTTGAATGTTAAATTTCCTTTCTCTTTTTTATACTTTAATGCCCTTTTTGGATGTTAATACCAGATTCCAACTACTGTAATATTTTCCTGGTCAAAACTACCATAATGCACTTTTGGAAGAGGTATCTGAATAACTAGATGTAGTAAAAACAAATCTGAATTATTATAATTTTAATCAATAAAACCAGCATTAGTACATCTATTGACCTTTTTACATTTAGTTACTTATACAAATATCAAATCACGTTTGTTCCGCTCAACTGGCTTTCACCTCTCTGAAAGCAACCCTAGTTTATTGAGCGAAGCGAGCGAAGCTCTTTGGGATCAACTTCAATGCAACAAATAGAGAAACATCACTCAATAACGGCTGAACGCATTTCAGCCAAACTTAACAAAATTACTTAGACTAATAGTGAGATGGTTTTTAAACAAACAAATTTCAATTAGATAATGCTAATGCAATTTAAAACGAACTTAAAAGTTCCAATTTTTAACATTAGGCTTATGGGACTAAAGTAGCCATATGACAGTTTTTTGTTTACAAGAAAAATGTAAACAAGAAAATCATAAGGTATTTCTGAACTTTCTAGACTCTTCTTTTAATCGTTTTTAAATCATCCCAATGATCTTAATAAACAAGAAAATACCGTTAAAACATTTTTTAAGGCGCGGAATTCACTACAAATTGCGAAAATAGAGGGAACTACTTTCTCAATGCGCGGAGCATATCGCAGTGACTACTTACTCTTGGGCACCTATTTGTGTTGCCAGCTGATTAGAAACAGTCAATGTTAGAAATAAGGATTTAATGAACGATATATCGAACCGCATCGAAATCGATATTTAATCCGATAATACCTCACAGGTTATATTATGTTGAATTACATCGACGATACAGTAAGTTATTACACTTATTAATAAAACGCAGATTTAACACTGATCTAATTTAGGCACGTGGCCTACATTCCAGTTACATTACAATCATATCCTCCATCAAGAATACTTGGTATTAACAATCATAAACTATTTCCAGCAAAGAAAGCTGAGTTTAGCTGATTGTAATGGTTGAAATGAAGACCAATGTTTATGTTGCACAGTTGAATTTAAATTAACTAAAATTTAAGGCACATACCTTCACGTCCACGGTTCATAAATGTATGGTCAAACCCACTACATGTTTCGCCTATACATAGGCATTGTCAAGTGGTCCTTCAAGAACGTTTCGTCCATTGTAGACTCGTCAAAAAACATTTAAATAAATACACAAAACACGATACGAAACATTTAACACCTAGTAGGCCTACTATTTACCGATCGCGGTACGGAGGCAGACTGGCTGGAATTATGTAACCCCGACCCCATGTAACATGTAAGTGATGTTTGAGTGAATTTAAATGTCAAATTTCCCCTCCTGATGTCATACTTTAATACTCGTTTTTTAAATAGTTACTGTTTTTAGCGAATTTCCCATATAGGGAATAAGCTATTACCGTAGTACTCATGGTAAGACCTGGATGCGGGACCGATTTTTTTTTTCGTTTTGAGGTCCCTAGAGGCCAAAAACACCATCCGTTCAAATTCATATATATATATATATATGTGTGTCCGTCAGCACGATAACTCGAGCAAAAATGATCCGATTTGGATGAAATTTGGTACAAACGTGTAAACGTACGTTTATTCGAACGAGTTCGCGATCCAGCATGATCGGACCATGGGAACGGGGGTTTACAGGGGGTTTTATAGGGTAAAAATAGGGTTTTCCTATTTTTGACCCAAAAAACATAAAATTTAGCAATTTCTTTCCAAACCATTTTGTAGAGCTTAAAAAAACAAATAATTTAGTATATTGAAGCGTTATTATGGGCCTAATAGTTACGGAGAAAATTCCAAAAAATTGTAAATTTAAAATTCCCATGTTATTCTTATGGAGAATAAGTAAACTGTAGTAGTTTGCTTGTTTGTGAACATATTTTGATCAAATTTGGAAAATGTTTTTATTTCTCACTACCTATTCACATTTTACAAAAAAAAAAGTTTTACCCTCCCTGATGCAGCAAACCTAAGTACTTGTTAAACTAATTCTATTTAAATCAAGAATAAATGTTATATTTTTAAGTAGACATTTCAGTGTAAATCCAATCAGTCAAATGGAAATTCGCTTAGTCTGCAGGTTTGCTGCGGCGGGGGTATTTTATACTTAAATACTTTAACCGATTTTAAGGGTGAAAAATGAAGTCCAATGTTTTTGTTGTAGGCTACAGTTGAATTTGAATGTTAAATTTCCTTTCTCTTTTTATACTTGAATGCCCTTTTTGGATGTTAATATCATCAGATTCCAACTACTGTAATATTTTTCGGTCAAAACTACCATAATGCACTTCTGGAAGAGGTATCTGAATAACAAGATGTACAGTAGTTAAAACAAATTTGAATTATTATAATTTTTATCAATAAAACAAGCATTAGTATATCTATTGACTTTTTTACATTTAGTTACTTATACAAATATCAAATCACGTTTGTTCCGCTCAACTGGCTTTCACCTCTCTGAAAGCAACCCTAGTTACTCTTTGATTTACTTTGTGTGTTTCAACTGCTATGGAATTGTTTATGTTTTTTTTACAAGAGACGTCCAAAAACTGGGTTTGTTACTATCTAACGCAACCCGTTTGTTAAAATATTAATAGCATGATGATAAATTATATTTCCATTGGAGATCGAACTAGCAAACTTCATATTTGAAGGCGATCACTTTAACCAGTTGACTGAGTAGACAATGAATGCATACCCTTCGATAATTGCTTAATGGTTTGATTGATCCCTTCGACGATAAACGGCAATTAATTTGGCAAACGGATTAATTTTAGTCTAATGGTAGAGTGCGGGACTTCGGTTCAAATCCCAAATCAACAATGGATTTTGTCCAAGCGAAGCCGCAATCCCTCCAACATTTTGGCTCTGAATATCAACAGACCTCACACACACGGGTCATGTTTTAGGGCCCATTAAAAGAGCGCCACCCTTCGACGTAGATTAAAAATAATGACCCTTCCGATCGCCAATGGGTGCAATTAAGCAATTACGCAGAGAAAGAAAAGAAACGGCTGCCAATTAACGGTCAGAATCGTGGTTGAAACCGAGTAACCATTAATCAAAAGACGGTTGATTCGTGGAAATATCAAAAATGAAATAATTGCAGATTTTCGACTGTGGCAAATTAGAAGTTCCGCGCCGAAGGCGCCAATTATTTGACGATTCCGATGGGAAAAGAGAGATTCGGCGGTGGAATTATTGGGGTTGTTGGGTTGTTCACGATCAGTATTGGACATGGAGATGTTTTGTGGCTTCGCGGGATTTGACTTGACCACTGCGAGGCTGATGGGAAACAAAAGTTAAAAAAATACCTTTATAGTAACGAGTCTAACTTAGATCACAAGTAGCAATTAGTAATGACAGATTTTAATAGCACCATAATGCATTAATCGAAATGGCTGTTTATCGATATTCTAGCAACACAATAGTTCGAATATGTTTTAAAGATACATTTATTTGGAATAGACATTTACTTAGAGGGTCTTAGCGATACAGTTAATCTACATAAAATTAATAATGTATTACGTGCCGAAAAAATAAAGAATTGCGCGTATAAATTTTAGTTTCTCCATTATTTCTCTACGATGACTACATTTTAACCCCTGTTGTTTTTATAGAAGAATTTTGGTAGTAAAAGACTAGCAAACTTATACGAGCGAAGACTGTTCGAACACTCCTAAGTAAGGTACGGTACATTGCTGTCAAAGATTCTAATGTTTTCCAGGAAATTTAAAGCTCTAACGAAGGTACAAATTATTAGGTTCGACTCTAAGACCCCTCACACCACGGCAGGCTTTGTAAAACTCTCAAGGACTCCTCCGATGGTATTAGCCTTGATAATGATGAAGGTTTAGATTGCAAAGAGCAAGTATCCAAGAT